TCTTCAGAAGAGAGTTGCGAACAGGAAGAGACTATGTCTGCGTTCAATTATTGAGCAGTAAGTAAAACATCAAAACAAAAACGGCTCTTTTAGGAGCCACCACATGTCCTAAGAGCCATGATCAATGGTAACATTATTTTATTCTGAGAAAATAACATTCATCTAACAAGACACACTCTCTCCCCCTTCGTCAGCACGCACATACCTTGTTTGTAAACAGTGTATGGAGGTTGGTCACTCAGAACACGACCTAGTTTGTAACATCAAGACTTTTGGAGAATATAATCTTTGTTTTTAAAATGAATTTTGCGTGATGCGTGACACCCTTGCCAGATGAAGACGAATTTTCATGAGTCACAGTTGGATGCATCTCATTAAAATCCGAACATGAAAGCGAAATAAATGGGTCTATACTGATGTAGGCTGATTTCATCTATTCTCTGATTGGTTCCTGATGAGGTCATCATCCCACCATGCTTTGCACCACCCTATCTAACCTGCAGTGGAACCCAAGTCTCTCAGTCTTCATCATGGCCGCTTGCCGGACGGATGTCTGTCGTTTAGGACCACAGGACACTGTAAGTATCGAGTTTGAAGCTGCATGACATTTTTGCGTGACCCTGGTGTGATTTTTGTTGCCATGGAAATCCGTGAGACCAATCCCAGGTCCTCCGTCGAGGCTGGTGGGCCGTTTTCCAACATGGCCGACTTTCGTGGGCGCCACCATCTTGAATTTTTAATTCGGCTCCGGATTGCCTGAAAATAAAATAGCGCCATCTTGGATTCGGAGAACAATAGCATCCATTATTCCCCAAACAATAGCCTATTGTCTTTCTCGGCTCCTGATTGGTTACGGCCCACATGAGCCACCATTACTACTCGAAATAATTTTCACTCATCTAGAATAATTCCAAAGATTTGTTTTCGAAGAAAACATCTGCAACGTTCAAGATGCATACTGGATCTATAATGGATCTTCTTGGAAAATTCTCTCTCAGATATACCAGGGGTGAGATAAGAAAACACGTTAATTTCTTTGTTATTGATGAGGATGTCAGGCCACTCTAAGCTGCTTAAACATGTCACAACTGAACTTTATCAAGGTAAGGGTGTCTGACATTGCTGAATCTGAAACTGTTAGCTTTATGAATGACAAGTTGCAAACCACACCTAGTGTTCTAGGCTAAGATTGGATTTGAAAAACTATAGTGTTGTCTTGGAAAAGGTAGGTGGGTGAATTTTTTTTTTTATCAAGGAGTCACCATATCTGACAACCTTCATTCAACACACCCTTTGGTTCCTTTCGCTGGCTCCGCCAACCATGTGGCGTTAAGAGAGCATGTGATCGACGAAGACGGCGATGACGACGGCGACGACGACGCGGTGTTAGCTGGCCTACAGTTTGGCGACACGGTGTGTATGAGGCCGTCATCAACCGACAAGGAGAAATTGTGAAGCTACAGTAATCAGAAGAAACATAAGTCACCTGGTGAAGACTTACGAGTCATCACTACTAAGTATTAATCAGACATATGTTAACCTGCCGAAGAGATATAGTGAACAACCTCAGAGGAAGATCGATTACCCTATTAATTCCCAACCTGTTGAAGAAGCTGAACCCTCTCTGACCATGCCCTTTAATAGTAGTGATGGGCACTAAGTATGTAGAAATGTTTGCCTGAAGAAATGGTTCCAGGACTACGTTTAAAGGGCATGTAAAGATTTTAACCATGTGAAAGGTGAATTGATCAACATGACAGGAGTGTGAGACAAAGAAAAAATCTGAGTCCCCGACAGGAATCGAACCCATGATCTCCCGAACACCAGGCAGGCGCTCCATCCACTGAGCTACGAGAACTCATGGAGAGCAAGGTCATTTAACTGAGTTTATATGTGACATGCGTCCTGCATACTGCTAGGATCAGCACTGTTGAAGTCATCGTAAGTAGTGATAAGTAAAGTGAATAAAGACGGTGAATTTTAAGCTCAGTAATGAAACGTGAGAGGTGAATCGATCAACATGACACGAGCGTTGGACAACGAAAAAATCTGAGTCCCAGTTAGGAATCAAACCCATGACCTCCCTCCTGTTATTGATGAGGGGCTCCGCTTTTGTGTGTGTACCGTGCACATGGTCTTAATTAAAAAGACTTCTATTAAGTTATGTATGTGCTTTGTCTGTGTTCTCTTGAAGCCTTAAATCAACAAAGAAGGTAACACGGCTAATTTACTAGTCTCTCTTCTTTACAAGCATTTTGAATCCTTTTACCGCTATTTCGATATTTTTCTCGGTTTTACCAATGGGTAATCTTGAATTTAAAACTTGGAGTCTAGAGGAGTTCTTAACTTTTAGTCTGCATTGATGGAAGTTGCTTCAGGGCCATTTTGTGATTTTCGAAATGTAATTTAAGTCAGTAATATTCTATCTCTAGCAGTCGAAATAGATTTTTTACCGCCTCTTTATTTTCTTGGTTTCTCAATTTTCACAGCAGCCTTGGTAGAGTTCCTTGTCCTTGGCACAGTAGCTTTGAACTTTCGACCAAATAAAATAAATATGGTCTATACTTTTCTGTCACTAATGGTCATAATACATCTTTTACTGCCTTGTCCATATTTTTTGCCACTTTTTCAACTACTGTAGATTTGGTAAAACTCCTTTTTTTGTACAGTAGTTATGGCCGTTTCGCCGGGACAAAAAAAGTGGCCGTAACAGCGAGGTGACTGTATCAACGGGTTGACCGTAAGGCGGGGTTCCGCTGTATGAGCAAAAGTTTTTAAAATGTTCAAGTCAGGATCACGAGATAAAATCTAAAATGATTCCTTGTTAACAAAAAAAAAAAAAAACGATAATCATATAAGTAACAATAAGTACAAAGTTTGGTTAAAAGGCCCACAAGGTCATTTTTTTATTCTGTTTTAGAAGGCCTTAAAGTTTCTAATGGCTCTGTGTGAACATAGTAGCAGGTTCCATGGCTTTGGCGCTGGTTAGCGCCACGTTTTTAGTCCGTAGGTTGTGGTATTGACCTAAAATCTAATAACTTTTTTATGCTTTTAGGAGCGTGATCGTAATTAATAGCTTTAAAAACCGTACAAAGTATTTTCTGAAGACATACATTGCATTATTCCCGTTGCTTTTCTGTGTACTTTGACACACCATTAATATAAAGATATGAAATTCAGAATTGATGCTGAAGTAAAGGTGTCTTAATTTATTAAACAAAAAGTATTGGGTTAACTATAAGGAGGCCTTTGGGAACGTCAATATATTTCCGATAACTAGGTGATTTAAAATGCTAAGCATGGTCCAGAAAAAAAACTGTATCCAGACAACTTAGGAAGGCTCTTTAAACACGTTTTCTTCAAGATTGCTTTTTATTTACGTCAAAGCAGTTGACGCAAAAATGTTATGATACAAAAAAAAGGAAATATATAGCTTAGACAAAACATAAAATTTATTCTTGTTAGCTTGCATTATTGGCTTACAAAAATCTTGTTTTGGACTTGTCTATCAGAACCTGATGGTACTCCACAAAATGTGAAAGGACAGAACATTAGCTCAACCAGCATCTTAGTCACGTGGGATGCAGTTCCAGCTGATCAACAGAATGGTATCATCACGGGTTACAACATTACTTTCAAGTCACAAACAGAGAATGACGATGGAAATGTTCAAGTAAATGGCTCTGTTCGTCAGACGGAATTGACAAATCTAAAGGAGTACGTCAACTACAATATCACAGTGTTTGCATCTACTGTGAAAGGAGATGGACCAGCCAGTGACCCAATTGTTGTTAGAACAGACCAGGATAGTAAGTAGAATACTAACCAAGCGTCCCTAATGGGTCTTAATATTATTTTTCACGGCATCACTTGTTTTATGGTGCGTTTGATTGACCTTAATCCGGAATAGAAATAATTGACTCGGAATGTATTACAATTTTCACCGGTCGCCAGAACTTATGGAGAACCCCTCAGAAAGTATTGTTAAATGTGACCGAAATCGGTTGTAACCATGGATTTCCATACATCAATCGATGAAACCGATAACGGATATCGACGAACGGTTTTCCAACAGCGAATTTTATCGACTGCCCTCCCCGGGTGGAAACTGCTTTTCTCTGCACGCTTTACCTTTTTTACCACCAGCATCTGCCATTTCTATTTCTTGTCTTGCGAAAGGTCAAGACGCGAAGAGGGAATGACGTCATTATTTCGCTTCATTCCAAGGTTTATTCGTTTGTTTTTTGTCTAAATCATTTTTCACTCATGCGTCGTGTTATTATTCCAAGTATTGCGCTACCTTGGGAAGAACGCTTGGAATACATTTCACTTGACAGTTTCACCATTAAGCGCTATTTTGGAACCAACAATTTTTATAGCGACTGTAATTAAAAAATTCTCTTGCGAAACAAAGCTTAATTTTTCTTTACGTAACACTGAACTATAGGTGTACTTACTACACAAAGTCGAATTGTCAACTGCTATAATTCTCGCTTACACAACCAGATAAATTCACTGAAATCGAATCTTGCATCCTGCTCGCAAATCAAAAGAAAAGAAGAATGCAACAACTAAAACATTACAAGGGCTTAGAAGAACTCTGTGAAAACACAGACGTTTTTTTTTTATCAAGTTCATTGGATGGAAAATTTCTCCCAATTTTCGGGTTAACCCGTATGAATTTTAAGCCAATCACAGTTTAGCTTAAGTAGCCCCAGAACTACTGCACGAGGTATTAGCTGAGAGGAGCACTCGAGTTTCATTCTATCATGGAATCTGATTGGCCAAGGAGAAACAAAAGTCATGCGTCACAGAAATCGTTTCCTGGCTCGGGTTCGCAGACGTTATTTTTTGGCGGAGACAAGCGACAGCCAGAAATACGCCTGCGTTCGCAGGCTATTATTGCCTAGGCTTTACTCTTTACGTCACCTAATTGAATTGACCATGAAAGTCTAGGAGTAAGCCGTACAGGAACTATGCAAGGAGTTATTCCAAAAATTCAATATAGTTTGAAATGTTTCAATTAATTCGAAATCAAGCATACAGAATTTTTTGAATTTAAGATACTGGTATTAGCTCTTTTAAAGCAAGCCTGGATCTTTCTTGCGCAAAATTCAAGCGTTACTGATTTTGAATATTGTTTTGTCTATAATTTCCACGGAAGTATTGAATATCATAAACAATTTATTTTATAGTATTAAGCTTCAATATGTTTCCGATAACTAGTGTAATTTTGACATTAATCCGATCAAAGTAAGAGAAAAAAAGCTGGTTGAAAATGCTTAGTATGGAGAAAAAACTGTGTCCAGACACCTTAAGAAGTCTTTCAGTTAAACACGTTCTTTTCAAGATTGTGTTTTATTTACGTCAAAGCAATTGTCTCAAAAATGTTATGACATATGATAGAAAAAAGGAAATATATAACTAAAACAAAACATAATTCTTGTTAGCTTGCATTATTGGCTTACAAAAATCTTGTCTCGGACTTGTCTATCAGAACCTGCTGGTGCTCCACGAAATGTACAAGGACGGAACAGCAGCTCAAACAGCATCTTAGTCACGTGGGGTGACGTTCCAGCTGAACAACAGAATGGTATCATCACGGGTTACAACATTACTTACCAGTCACAAACAGAGAATGACAATAACAGTGTTTCAGCTGGTCGTGAAGATCGTCAAAAGGAATTGACCGGTCTAAAGGAGTATGTCAACTACAATATCACAGTGTTTGCATTTACTGTGAAAGGAGATGGACCAGCCAGTGATCCTGTTATTGTTGTTAGAACAGACCAAGATAGTAAGTAATTTATTTTTATCAGGTTTTTTGGGGATGTTTTGGTAACTTGGTAGTGAGTAAGTAATTTTGTCTGTGGGTGTTATGATTGATTCTCTCACTGTAGTGAAACACTCAAGAATACAGTGAATTTATTGTAAAATGTACAGCGATAATATATATAAGTATGTTTTCATGAAAAGTGAGCTGTTCTTTCTGTGACTGTCTGTGTGGCGTCAAATTTTTGAAGGAATACTTGTTGCTTTATGTTAGTTGTTCTTAAATCGAATTATAGATCATCATGCGAATTAGTTGGAAGTTTTTTTTAGCGTTCCCGTACGAAGCCCAGTTTGCACGGGGCCAGAATGTGGAAAAAGCTCTTCGTACG